AGAAACTTTAATAATAACAAGACGGTCATAATTTTTTTAATGGATAAAAGTGTTGATGAAGATGTGGATAAACTGACACCATCTTTCCTCCATTGTTAGTGGAAAAGTAAAATGGTTCAGCCATTTGAGAAATAGTTTACAGGTTCCTCAAAAAGTTATCGTACAGCCCAATAATTCCCACCCTTCTCCCTAGTATATACTCAAAAGAACTTACATAGCTATTAAAAATTACATGTATACATGTTCATAGCAACACTGTTCAGAACAGAAAAAAGGTGAAGAGAGCCCAAATGTCCATGAACAGATGAAAGATAAACTGTGGCAAATACAATGTAGATGGATCTTGAAAATATCATGCTAATTGAGAGAAGCCAGGCACAAAAGTGTGTGTGCATATATACATATAATCAATAGGAAATCTCCAGAATACATAAATACAGAGAGATAGAATATAGATGAGTGGTTGACAGGGACTAGGGTTGAAGGGAACAGGGAGTTACCTCTTTTAATAAAATATTTTCATTAACTTTTAAAAAGAATTTCATGTATGGATACAATGCATTTTGATAATATTTACTACTGCCCCTACTCCTACTCCTAATCTCTCCCAGATCCACCCTCCATTCCCTGACTCCCTCCCAATTTCATGTCCTCTTGGTTTAATATAATTAAGTGATTCCAGTTTGTGCTGTCCATATACTCATGGTCTGGGGCCATCCACTGGAGCACTGTCGACCCTCAGGGAGCCACATTGTTAAAGAAAACTGACTCTCCCTTCCCAAAAAGTGAGTAACTTCTTAATACCTATGTGGCTTTCTTTTGGAATACCAAGAATTATTTTGTAATGTTTGACAACATTTTTGAATGTACTAAATAACACCAAAGTGAATACTTTTAAATGATTGTTTTATGTTACCTAAATTTTATCCCAATAAAATGGATACTATCACTTTTTTCCTTCTCTAAAAGTTTATTTAAGCTTCTTTTTCAGAGTGAAGTTGAATTCCTCCCATCTTCATATTCATAGGAGTTGGTATGTAATGGACTTTTACAATGTGCTGTAAACTGTGGTTCATGGTTTCTGGGCATCACATTATTTAAACTTCATAACAGAAATACTTGACATATAGTAGATACTGAGCTAAGTATTTGAGGTATGAATGAACAACCATATAGCAAGATGCATATGAAGCGATTTAGGTTAAGAATCAGTTCACCTGCCCCAGGTCTTCTGGTGAGTAAGGACAGAATTCAGTGTAAAAAATGTAGCATAAAATTATCACCTTGAGTTTTACTTATAACCTGATATTAGAGAGAAAGAGATCAGGTTCTCTTTAGAAAGAAGTTAGCTCTTTGATATTACTTTCTAAGTTGTAGTGAAACCCTAATATGTTACTTTGGTTGCATTGGAAAAGGCCTGGCATTGTTATCAGGTAGGCTTGACTTTTAATTTCCAACTCTTTACTAAATGTGTGACTGTAAGAGAATTTGATTTAACATTTCTGAAATCCAAGTTGCATGTTCGTTAAAAGTGTATGTGCACGTGCGCGCGCGCGCACACACACACACACACACACACACACACTCTACACATAATAAATAAATGTAAAGGTTTTTTTAAGTTTAAAATTATAAAGTGAAGATGGCACCACTGAATGGTAGGGCCAGAGTTAGAAATCAAGGCTGCTTATTCTCCTGAGTTTTATTTTTTGAGATGGGTTCTTGCTATGTTATTGAGGCTGGTCTTGAATTCCTAGGCTCAAATGATCCTCCAGTCTCAGACGCTCAAGGGTTTAATCTACAGGTGCACACAGTCGGCTTTGCTAGGCCTACTATAGTTTAAATAATGCTAATACAAAATGTTATGAAAACACTGTCCAAGCCAAATAAAACACATTTTCAGGTTATACGTGGCCTGTGAGTCACAAGTATTGACCTCTGTATTAGTTAAGAGGAAGCAGAATGTTAGAATAGTCTGGTGATTAAAAGCAAGGACTGTAGGCCATACAGCCTGTGTTGCCATCCAAATTTAACCATTTACTAGCTCTATGACCTTAGAAAGCTACCTCATCAGTCCATTCCTTAGTTTACTTGTCTGTAAACTGGGCATAACGATAATATATACCACATAAGGTTTGTTAAAAGTCTCTCTCTCTCTTTCTCTCTCTCTCTCTCTCTCTCTCTCTCTCTCTGTCTCCCCCCCCATGTGTGTGTGTGATCACTTAGAAACAATTCCTAGCCTACAGCAAGTTCTGTGCAAGTGTATTTTTTACAACAAAACAAATAAATCCTAAGCTTTTGTTCACCTTTTAACACTTTGTGACTAAGAACTTAAAGAAAGCTAATTATTTGTACTAATTTTCTGTGGGATTGGATGTGAGAGTGAGATAGGGTCTTGTATAGCCCAGGCTGGCTTCAAATTTGCTATGGAGCTGAGGATGGCCTTAAACTCCTGATCCTCCTGCCTCTACTTCCCAAGTACTGGGTTTTAAGTGTATGCCACCACAACTGAGTTTTTGCACTGATTCTTAGCCTTGTCACAGTTTGCTCATCATTTACTCAGTTTACACATCTGCACAGTGGGCATAATATTGGTACCTATACATATAGTTGTGAGAAAGCATTAAGTAAGAGCTATGTATCATTATCACTGATTGTTAAAAAGATTTCTTGGCATGGCTCATGCATGTCAGTTCTACAGGACTCCAAAATACTGTTTACAATGTAGCATTGATCCTAAGAACAATGTCCATACCGTAAGAATGGAGCTGAACTTTTGGTCCTTTAGTTAATCATTCTAAAAAGCTAAAGCAGTAAGGTCTAAGAAGAGACTTTCCAGTTGTTGCATAGTCTACTTAATGCACCTCAGTACCAGATAGAAATGAAAACACAAAAATAGTCTAAGCTTTTATTCGTGGAGGCAACGAGTGAAACATTTTCAAGAGCCCTTTCTGTATTTTAGATAATATCTTTAAGAATAAGGTCAGGAAAAGCCAAACCCTCATGTACAGACTTGATTAGAACAAAGTCTTATATTGGAAAAAAGGGTCATTTTTTGCCTCCCTAGTTCATCCAAGTCTACCTAGGGTAGAATATAGTTTTGTCAAATACGTAAGAGAAGGGAGTTATAAGTAGAGTTGGTTCCTGGGGATGAAAAAGTAGCACTCTAGCTATAATTTTTAAGGTGATAAGTTCTGATGTGAAGAAACAAAGGCATCTTGGAAAGATGGGTATAAGGGGATGTCTGATGGAACAAGTAGGAATTCTAATGGAGTAGGAGAGAGAACCCCACACTGAATGAATAGGGAAGATTGATTGTAGGTTACTACTGTAAGGGTGCTGGCAAAATGATCCCAGCACTGAAGTGATACAGGCATTAATGGGATCTCTTGAAAAGATATGAGGATTCTTTGATTGTCCATGAGAGATTTCTGTTGTGAGGAGGAAGGATATAATATGAAGACTTGTGAGAATGTTAGATGATTATTTGTAATAAGGACAGAGAACTAGGGGGAAATCAAAGTGAGGAAAATATGAGAGGGTCTTGGAATTTGTGTTAGGAAATTCTGAGTTTGAAAGCACAAGATATATGGTGAGAACCATATTATGAATAAGGGGGATAGAACGCTTCTCAGTCTGAAAGAACAGGGTATAAGAAAAGATCAGAGTTACTAAAGGGATGGTCTAAGAAGAAGAAATAAGAAAAGATACACCCACTGGGAAGGGCAGACAGTATTAGTAACTTCAGTATGAAAGAATTGGACTTCACAGGGTGCAGAAGGCAGGGGGGCAATGCTAAAGAAAACAATGACAAACACCAGAGGAAGAGGATAACAAATGTGGTGTGTGAACAGTGGAAAAGCACTGCAGGAAATGGAGAGTGGGTTTCTCAGAAAAGATCAAAAAGGAGAAACCAGGATTAGAAAATCAGTGACCTTTTGGAGGGATGTGGTAGAGATTGTGGGGACTTGGGGGGTGGTAAAGTGAACACTTTAGTACGACTGTGTTATATAAGGGATGAGACATAATGATAATGTGATAAATCAGGTTTACCAGCATATGCCAGAAAATAACGTGGGTCCTGTAATGTGATGGAGTTCAGTGCTCCAGAAAGTAGAAAGGTAGGAGGCTGGAGGGCACCCCACTGTGGGAAAATCAGGGGTGCTACTGTGAGAGGAGAGTGTTGTGTAGAACCATCAGAGAAGCTCAGAAAATGGGGAGAACCCACATGGAAAGTGAACGGAAGGCTTATCACTGTGTAAGATAGGACAAAATGTACTGTGGGGCCACAAGTAGGTGAGGATATGAACCATTTCAGCCTGTGTGTGTGTGTAAAGGGAAAGGATGGAAGGCTTATCACTGTGTGAAAAGTGAGATAGGGAAGAGTGTACTGCTGTGGGAGGTCACACGTGGGGGAAGATCTGAAGCATTCCAACCCGTGTGTGAGAATCACAGAGAAAGGATGGATCCCAATGTGGGGGAAAGGAGAGCATATGAGAATACAAGAAGTATTTTTGAACTCCTATAGGGAATGAATACGGAAGAAAGGACTCCAACCAGGATTCTAGTAGGAGGGAAAACGGTGGGGCTTCTAGTTGGATGCGCCGGTGGGATTCATGGTGTGAACAGGCAGTTTAAGGACACAAGCTATGGTGCTTCCTCAATTGGGTGGGGTGAGGGTTGCACAGAAGGAGAAGGCACAGAGTAAGTGGTTGTCCTGTAAGAAAAGGGGTATCTAGTGGGAAGAGCCTGGAAATTATTGTGGGCAAGGCACAAAAATACAAAAAACTAGAGGGGTTGGTGATGGTATCTTAGACCCTCGTGGGTAGGCGCGGGAGATATTGTGAGAAGTGCAAGACTGGGGACTGGGGATTTTTCAGTGAGTGAAAGAAAAACCGCAGAGTGAGGGCTGAGAGCACAGGGGACACCAGTGGGAAGGGTAGGGCAGACGATTATGCTGGAGCATAATTTCCCCACATTACGTGATCAGCCCCACTTACCCAGGCAGAGTTCAAAGACGTAGGCATAGTAGGACCAGAGCACGACGAGGACAATAACGAGCACTGGCACCCAGGACAGTACCCGGCGGCAGCAACGCAACCCCCCAGACAGAGCCATCTTCCAGCTCCGCCGCATCTTCGGCTCGAAGATCGACCGAGCAGGCCTGCTGGCGCTGCCTGGGAACTGCTTGGGCGGCGGCTGGGAGGCGGGAAGGCGCGCTGTGCGGCGCTCCACTGCCTAGCCTGGCGGGAACCTTCTGGCCCTATCGTGGCCACCTGTGGGGCTGCGCTGCCCAGCGCCCGGCGCCTGGCACAATAGGCGTGAGTCAAGGCGTGGCGGAACCAGCCTGGGTAGGGCGGAAGGTGATCCCAGTCATTCCAGGCCTGCCCAGCTGGGAAGGAGTACGGTCCCTCCCCTTCCCGCCTCTCCCCCAACCTCCTACCCTTTGCTCTGGCGCTAGATGCCGGGCTGGACCTCTGCAAAACTGTAAAGCAAGCAGAAGAAATATGGGTCTGCCCATCTTCTGTTACTGCACTGCGTCCACCTTCTCTTCAATTTCATTTCTCACTCCCCCTCTCCTCTCTGCTTCCCTATGCGTGCAAACACACAGACACACAGACACACAGACACACACACACACACACAGACACACACAAGTACACGGATATATTCTGAAAGACACACACCCTAGCATCTGATGATTTAAAGGTCATCCATCCCCATTCTCCCACTGCTGCTTGAACAATATGCTTAACACGTAGTGCCAAGTGCTGCAGTCGCTGCTGGGGTAAGTCCCTTGACAGGCCACCCTCTCTTCCCTCTTTGACCTCCCTGCAGAATTAGCTTAGTATATTTTCAGAATAAACACAATGGTACAGAAATCAAGTGAGCAGCATAGTGATTCTGGGAGGGACCAGAGAAAACTATAAAGATGGTGATGTTTAAGCTGAGCTTTATTAATAAAGGCATTTTTCAGGTAGAAGAGACAGGAGGACCTTTCAAACCGGAATCACATTTGCAAAGGAACGGAATAATGAAAACCCCAAAGTATTCCAAGAACAGCCAGTGTACCTCGAAGAGAGTTTGTTTGAAAAGGAGAGGGTGGGAATGATAAGACTGAAATTATAGGCTGAAGCCAGGATGTGAAGGCTTTTCTGTTCCTTCTCAGGGCCTGGAGGCACAATTATGCAAAGTAGATTATGAACAGCCATCAAAAGTTTGAGGGCAATGGAATGAGTCACAGTTGTATTTTTGTATGAAAGAACAGACAAGATTTTGGAAAGGAGGATGGCCTGGAAGCTGGGAGACCAGCTAGTGGACAATTTAATTCAACAAATATTTTGGAGTGGTTGCTTTCTCTTAGATCAACTTTAGTATGAAAAGAGTGACAAAACAGGGGATTGTCATCAAGAAGCTTGTGTTCTCATCAAGCAACAGGTTTCTGGAGTTTGTTTTTGTTTTTTGAAACAGGGTTTCACTGTAGCCCCAGCTGGCCTACAACTCACTATGGAGACAAGGTTCGCCTGGACCTTGATCTCATAGAGCTCCAACTGCCTCTGCCTCCAGAGTGCTGGGATTAAAGGTATGAACCACTACTCCCGGCAGGTTGTTGTTTTTGACATAAGTACAGTAATAGAAGTATGGTAGGGTCTTGGCACTTAAGAATCTCACACTCGTAATGATTTTACAAGGTCTGTTACCTGAAGAAATTGTAATTTTGCTGAAGCCCATGTTTGATTTACATTCTATATGACTGCTATGTGGGAGCAAGTGTTTTTATAAGGTTATTTTGTGTTCTTGATGTATGGTTATACATACAATGATGTTCCTAAAGTGACAACAACTTTGCTTCTTTTCAGATTAAAATATAGGTTGATGTTACAAAAGTAATAATGTAATGAAATGGGAGGTTATTTTAGTTGGAATATTTAATAGCCTGTTAAGTTATTCAGCCCTGAAGTTCTGACAAAGATACTTAAATTTTCCACATTTTCATGGAATGAATAGAGAAGTATTACCTCTGTTTCTGAAAGGTATAATAAAGAGCTGATAGAATTTCTTCCTTAAATATTTTGCAAAAGTTGCCTGTGAACTCACCTGGTCCCAGTGGGTTTTTTTTTTTTGGTGGGGGAAGGTTATAAATTATTGACTGAATTTCTTAAATCGATATAGATCTATTCAGGTTATATATTTCATCTTATGAAAAATTTGGCTGATTTTGTCCTTCTAGAAAATTGTCTATGACGATTAATGCTGATTATCAACTTGAAAGGATTTAATTTTATGGAAAATAAAGTGTCTGAGGACCTTACCTAGGAGGTTGAAGAACTCACCACACTATTTCATGCATTGATCCCAGATGGGCTAATACTCCAAAACTCTGGCAGCTCCTCAGTTTAGTTTGCAGGTTTATAGAGTTTTACATGGAATCTTTAAAAACTATTTCATTCGTAGGGTTAAAGTATAGTTTTCCAAAATTTACAACTTAGTCACCTATATGTCACAAGATAGCCATAAGACAATTTCAGGAAATTCTTTTTATGGGTAAGAAGTTAAAAGTTGACTATAAGGATAGACTTACTGACAGCTAGTTAAATATTCTTACAATGGAATTTAGTAAATAGTATCCCATCAGATAACTGTGGTATTTATGGTTTCCTGAGCTCTCCTTGATATTTCTACTCCTTTTTAAAGAAATGATTTAATTCTTGTGCTTTTGGTACAATAAAATTTGATGGTATTTAGCTCCCCTCCCCATCCACGCCTTCCCCAGCTACCCCTACCCCCCACTCAATTCAGTGTACTCCACCATATATACACAATACAGCCTATAGACTCTGATTTGTGTCCCCACATGACCATCAGCATGGGTCATTCCACTGGAGTTTGGTCAACCTACCAAAGTTCATCCCAGTAAGAGACTGTCTCTCCTTCCAGCAGCTATCAGTTGCCAAAAGTTCATTAAGTTGAGTTTGGATTTCTTACCCACTGTCTATGCTGGGATTTTGTATGACTTGAGCTTGCATGGGACTTGTGCATGCTGTCACCATTGCTGTGAGTTCATATGTATAACTGACCAGCTGTTTGGAAGACTGTGTTTTCTTGTGGTCATCTACCACCTCTGGCACTTACAGTCCTTCTATCCCCCTTCCACAATGATCCCTGAGCCTTCGGAGGCAGAGGTTTAAAATAGGTGTCCTATTCAGGGATGAGTACTCTGTAGCCTCTTGTTCTCTGCACATTGGCAAGTTTTGGATTTCTGTGTTAGTCACCATCTGCTGCAAAAGGAAACCACTCTGGTAAGAATTGAGAGATGCGCTTCATCTTATGTGTAGGGGTTGAAGATGTGTCACTTTGGGCTAAGTGTTCACAGACACTTACTCTCTGTGCTTGACCAGTTGTGGAACTTTGTATGAGTTTCCATCTGTTGCAAAAAGAAGCTTCTTTGATGAGTGTTGAGAGGCTCATTTGTCTATAAATATGAGGATGCATATTTAGAATACAGTAAGAAGGGCTGGAGAGATGGCTCAGTGGTTAAGAGCACTGGATTCTGTTCCCAGCATCTACATGGTGGCCAACAGCTGTACATAACTCCAGTTCCAGGGAATCTGACACCATCTTCTGACCTTCTCGGGCATTGCACGATATGGGTGCATTTACATACATGCAGACAATGCATGCACTCATATACATAAAATAAAAAAATAAAATATTTTTATAAAGAATGCAGTAAGCAATTACATTTGTCTAGGAATGTGGTAAAGTATAATTTTCTGTAGGATCTATGACCTCTCCTACCATGCAAATTTGGCTATGTTTACAGGACTGCATGTAAGTTCCCTCCTATTCAGTGGGTTTGAGTTGTTGGTCAGGATATTCCAAGAGATTCCCAAAATAACACAGGCTATGGCCACAGCCCTTCATTGCCTCCAAGAACTTAAAGGTAAGACCCTATTACTAAAGAAAAGCCACACTTCAGACACAGGACTTAGAACAGTTGAGCTGGAACTGACCTGGAAGCATCCTTCTTGAAGACAAGCTATCTTAGTATCAGAGGATACGATACAAGCTGCCAAGGGAGAAAACTAATCAATGGTTTTGAAAACCACCAGCTGTGAAGCCTAATAAGCAAGTAGTTTACTTCTTCCATCAGCTTGTGGTTAGGCATTTCTAAGTAAAGGAGTACATGGAAGTTACTAGGTTCTAAAATACAAAGAGAAATATAAAATCAAGTAAGAGGAATTGGCATACAAATAATATAGTGAACAATATTGAATTCACAAATTACGTATGTTTCCCCAAATTTTTGATGCCTGTTTATATCATATAAGGCATCAGTCCTTAATGGTCTGTTCTGTTAAACATTGGATTCTTGTCATCCTTGTCTTATTGTTTAATATGTGCATCCAGAGTTAGGACCAATTGAAATTTTATTGCCTCTAAGCATGGAGAAAGAAATTTAACAAGTCAATTAAGTATACATGACCTAAACAGGAAGGCTAGGCAAGTCATAAGAAGTGGGCCATTAGTGGGAGAAACCAAGATACCCAGCTCCAAATGTCCCAGGAGCTTGATGAGCCTGCCAATTCCTTTCTTCTCTTAAATGATTTGCTCTCTCAGTTGTTGAGTCAGGTCCCTAACTGTTCCTGAGGAGTTTTGGTAAAAGCACCATTCTTCACCCAGAAAAAGGCAGATTCCCCCCTTTTCTTCTGTCAACGGATTTAATACCCTTCTGTTTTGTTTAATACTATAGCTGCTAATGAATTCATTTGTCCTGGTGAGCCATTTGTCTTTAGAAACCAGTAAATATATCACACACAAAACAATATCAAAAATCCCAAATAGTCCCCATTAGAAATCAGTGAATAAATCACGCAAAACAATGTTAAAATCCAAAAATTCCACCATCAAAGTCTGGTATTACCTCCTTAGTCTGACATAAAAATGCATTAGGATCAGTATTAAAAGGAGCATTTGATGACAAACTGGTTACAATAATTTTGTTCTTTAAACCACCCTTTATAATGATTAACAAACTGGTTACAATAATGGACCTAAGAACAGTACCTGAAAGTGTTGTGCTTGATTCATAGGAAGGGGAGGAGACAGGACTATCATTTAAAAAAATCCCAGTAGATTCCACAT